TTGCCAGACCACCAATATTAACAGATCACACGGCTCCACCAGTAATGGAAAAAACCACTTTTTGTCCAAGCAGCACAAAATACGGATGAACCAGAGACTAAAACACAGAAATCAGAATCGGCAATGAAAAAATAGTTGTTCCTCATCCTTCAAATATATAAAGCACAGCTGTGAATCAATCAGGTACCACAGTTACAAAGACAACAATTCAGATGACTGTATCATGGGAACCCACATAGTGGAAGATGGTCCATGTGGTCCAGGATAGAAAGTGGGAGACTGTGAGTCCTAGTCCCACCTTAGCCAGGAAAGCCAGCTGGGTGACTTTGGACCAATCACCAGGAGGCTGGGAGTTCTAGTCCTGCCTTAGCCATGAAAGCTGTCTGGATAACTTTTGGCTGGTCATGCTGTCTCAGCCGAACTCACCTCACAGGATTGTTGTGGGAAAATAGGAGAAAAAGGTATGTTGGATATGTTCGCCATCTTATTTGTAAAAATAAAGGTGGGATAGATAGATAGATAGATAGATAGATAGATAGATAGATAGATAGATAGATAGATAGATAGATAGATAGATAGATAGATAGATAGATAGGGACAAAGATAGACAGACAGACAGACATGGTAGATAGATATAGATAAAAAGAGATATAAAGAGATATAGCTATAGCTATAGATAGATATATAGATATAAAGATAGATAGCTAGATAGGTAGGTAGATAGGTAGATAGATAATGATAGAGATAGAGACAAAGATAGACAGACAGACAGGGTAGATAGATATAGATAAAAATAGATATAAAGAGATATAGATATAGCGATAGATAGATAGATAGATAGATAGATAGATAGATAGATAGATAGATAGATAGATAGATAGATAGATAGATAGATAGGCCTTCTTGACAGTCATGTAGTATTTGCCATTTCAATTAAGCTTATGATGTTATCATGATTCTACCACCCACCATGATGTCCTCAGCCTCATTTTAACAGGAGTGGCTTATCCCACTTAGCTGTTTGGCCTCCATGTGTTCCTAAAAGTAAAAATAAATGCAAAACAATGAATGATTCCCCTGTTGTGAGCCTAGAATAATAGGGCTGGAAGGGACCTTGGAGGTCTTCTAGTCCAACCCCCGGTTCAAGCAGGAGGCCCTCTACCACTGCACCATGGCTGTCCAGTCTCTTCTCGAAAACCTCCAGTGACAGCTTCTGGAGACCAAGCCTTCAGGGTCTTCCCTGAAAATTCCAATTGTGCATCAAAGCTGCTACTTCATCTCAAAGTTGCTGAGGTTGAGAAATACCGATTTTGACTAGAGGAAGCATTAGGATGGTAAAGAGACACCCTCTTGTGGCTAGAGGGGAAAACAAGGTTTGTTTCGTTCCAGACAAGTGGCTGTGCAGTCTCTTCTTAAAAACCTCCAGTGTTGGAGTATCCACAACTTCTGGAGGCAAGTTGTTCCACTGGTTCATTGTTCTCACTGTTGGGAAATGTCTCCTGAGTTCTAAGTTGCTTCTCTCCTTGATTGGGTTCCCATAGATTACTTCTTGTTCAGGTGCTTTGGAAAATAAGTTGGACCCCCTCTTCTTTGTGGCAGCCCCTCAAAGACTGGAATACTACTATCATGCCAGCTCTAGTTAATTTTATTACTTTTATTTCACAATTCATCTTATTTCACAACTTGCACGGGATTGTTACTCTTTTTATGGACTTCCTACAATTAAAAATAAGCACTGCCTAGTCCACCAAATACTTATTGAATATAATTTGGGAAATGTGTGTTTGTTTTCACGAAACTTAGCGTAAGCCGAAGTTTCTCTACCTTGGCCACGTTCAGATGTGTGGACATCAATACCCAGAAGTCCCGACCAGCAAGTCCGCACACCTTATAAGTTGGTCTAAACTTTCAGAACAGGTTGAATTGTCCCTCCACCATTTTTTAAGAAACCATCAAAGGTATGTGGGAGGTGTATCGTTGACCTGTGATTTTATATTTTTAATGGATTTTTTTTTTCAAATTCTCTTTGTTAAGCTGATCTTCCTCAGCATATTGTCTGCAAAATCTCCCAGTGACTGTCCTCCACTTGGCATACAACAAACACTACATCTTGTAAAATTGTTTTGAGATTACTTTTTCAATGCAGGACAACTGTTTTATTGGAGAACTCCCTTTCCTCCTCAAGTGGAGACCCCGTTTGGCCATGTTATTAACGCTAGAAAGTGGGAGACAGTGAATTCTAGTCCCACTTTAGCCATGAAAGCCATCTGGGTGACTTTGGACCAATCACCAGGAGACGGTGAATTCTAATCTCCCCCGACCTTCCTTTGTCATGAAAACCAATTGGGTGCTTTTGTGCCAATCACCTGGAGAGCGCAAGTTCTAATCCCGCCTTAGGCATGAAAGCCGGCTGGGTGACTTTGGGCCAGTCACTCTCTCTCAGCCCAACCCACCTCACAGGGTTGTTGTTGTGGAGAAAACAGAAAGAGCAAGGTGTACTGGATACATTTGCCACCTTGAGTTATTTGTAAAAGTAATAAAGTCGATACCCACAAACAAACAAAGGTCTTTTAACCAGGATTGAGGTTAGAGACTTGTTCTCTGAAAACAAACCCAAACAGGGAAGTCCCAGCCGATGCAACTCGCAAAATGCAAAACGCAAACGGGAATTTCAACGCAACGTGAAGCCACTTACGAGGATGTTGGAACGGCTTTGTTCCATTTCTCTGACTTTATTTTTTCTCTTTGAGGTGACACTGTCCGCTCAGATCCAGTACCGTTTTGCAAAACAAAGGAACATAACTCACAGCCCTCGTGAAGGACTGTCAAAATTGTACAGTCGAAAAGGAGCGCGTCTATCCCACAACCCAGCTTCTTCTAAAAAAGAAACAAAACAATCTACTGACCGGTTATTCCAACCAAGAGAGGAAGGAGGTTAAGATCCAGTTACATTTCTCAGAGCTTTGACCCTTTTAACATCCTGTATCTTCTAGAGATGGAGGCCTGCCGTATCCATTCATTTAAACCTTTAGTGCAGAAAATAAAAGGTTTACCACCACTGTGCCTCTACGAAGCATTTCTAATTTCCCAATCAAGCCCATGGCCAGAATATTCCCTGCAAGGAATCTCCCTTCCAAATATTGCTCGGGTTTGACCCTGCTTAGCTTCCCAGGACAGAAAAGCTCAAATAGGTACAAATTCTGTATCTTCCTTTCGGGATTCAATTAAGTAAAGGACGTTCACCTGATACGGGGAGTTATTGTACGAATTACGACAGCAATACATGTAAGTGCCTACCATGGAAAAGAGGGAGAGTTTTTTTAGGGAAATTAGAGACTGCAGCAAGGCTATAAAGCAAGAGCTCTCAAGTCATTAACTCCAGCATTATGTACAAGGTTGCATTCTCAGCAACGTGCAATGGAAGAAATGGTTCAGAAACATCCCGATGAAAGGTTTGGTTTCAGCCTGACTTTGACCAGCGGCCTTCCATAATTTAGCACCTTCTGGCAGAGTTAAAGCAATTTCCGCTACAGCCCAATGAACACCGGATAGCTATCTGGAGGGCGTGAGGTGGCTGAATCAGAGTTTTGTTACTGTACTAGACTGAAGATATAAATCACCAATCATGCAGAGGGGCTTCACAGCCTATATTTCATAACTTCAGGGCAGCTGATCCTACTTAAATTGCTCTCTTACTATATAGAATTATAGCAGCAAAATCCTGTGGTTTTTTTTTGCTCTCCTTCAATAATGTCCAAAAAAAAAGGGGGGGGGGGGAGAAGGTTCAAATACATGTCACTTGGTTATGTAGGCTACTTGGGAAATCCTGCACAATTAAATTTGAAATTTGGTAGCTCTGACCTCTTACTTATCTATTTATAACTCAATTTCTTAAAGATTTTGTTGATAATAAAAGTGTTTCTATTATAGGTAGCTGTGAAAAAGAACTTGGAAACCTATGGTTCATTTCTTATGAGAATCAAGAGTGGTGCCTTTTTTTTTTTTTTCCAGAGGCAGCAATACAGAACTGAGAAACAGCTGGCTGTATCCCTGAATGGGGTGCCACCTTCTTCGTCACCAAGGCGATTATGATTTTTAGAGTCCTTTTGGCGTTTGATACTCGCATTTCCACTCTATATAGTTTTACGTAAGGTGACAGCTGTATCATCATCTCAGTTAAAAACTGGAAAGGTAAAGAGATGATACAACAGAGCGAAGGAAGAGACTAGAGTCTTGAAAGGGTATGATTTGAGGGTGCGGGCGGGGAATCAACCCTGCCTTTGGATTTTTTTTAAAAAAAGGGAAAGGTTGCTTTAAAAATAAATATATTTTTATGCAAGGAGTTTAGGACAATGTTTCTCAACCGTGGCAAGTTTAAGATGGGTAGACTTCAACTCCCAGAATTTCCCAGCCAGCTCCGCTCTCCTAGGAGTTGAAGTCCACACCCATCTTAATTTTGCCACTGGTTTAGGAGATGAAGAAATCTTCTGTGAGGTAAAATGCACATCAAGGGAGACAGAGAGTTCAAGTATGCTCCCATCTCCTTGAATTCCATAGATCAACAATTTAAACAGCACATAGACTGAGAAGAGCAGATGAGCAAAATTAAGGTAGAAGTCAATGCTCGCTCACGTGCAAAATACACAATTAGATTTCTAAGAGAAATTCGGGGAATCGAAAATGAAGAAAAATAAAAAAACTCACGTGCTGCTAGGAAAAACGGACAATTGAGCAAAACAAATAGCCAAGTTAACTATGCCGAGACACACTTTTAAAAAAAGAAAAAAAGTGCAGTTTTTATGAGGTCACAAAATCTCAGAAGTTTGGCAGAAAGCATATTCTTGAAAGTGAGGCGCAGACAGCCTAACTACCTTAGTCTGATTAGAAAGCCCAGAGGTAGTGAAAACTAGGACCAGAGGCTGGGGAAGCAACATTACCAGGAAAGAGGAGAAATTTAGCTAGCAATTTGGGGGGAAAAAATGAGTGAAAAGTACAACACAGCAGCTCAAGCACTTCATATTTCTTCACAAGATAGATAGTGACATATTGAACAATACATAAAAATTGTAGGAAACTATTAATACTTCATGATCTCTTTGTGTTTATCTATGTGCCCTGATATACACACAGAGTTACATACAGCAGATGATTTCAGCTAAATTTTTGAGAAACTGGAAGTCCCAAGTATCCAGGTGCTCAGACATCACACAGTTCATTAGCCAAGCCAAAGGTTTTCTTAGATAAAGAAACCAGATTTTCATCCTGGTTCCTGGAAAGCCTCATTGTGACATCCAGCCAATTATACCACGATTCAGTGTTTCCTGCATCTTAGCGGTCTAACACTGCAGTATTTAAATATACATAGATTATTCGGAAAAAAAAAACAATTTACTGATCACAAGCACCAAAAACAGAATTGACATCAGACCTTGTAGAAAAGGATACTGGGTTTTTTCCCCCTCAAATTCATGCAGCATAGCTCAGAATGATATCGGATTATTTTTCAGTATTCTCCTTCCGGGCACTTGGGGGAGTGGAAGGGAAAGAGCAAATTGAAAATCTAATGCAGAATCTTATAAATGTAATTTTATAAGAGCAAAAGTTCCAAATTATTTGTTTGGTTATAAAAATGTTTGCTTTTGACATTTGTCCCATTTTGAAAACTGCCATCTATCCTGTCTGTTTTTCCATCACTGTTTGTACCCAGCAATTATGCTAAAATTGAGGAATGTATAGAACCTTAAATGGAGAAAAAGGATACAGGGGATTTAATCTAATGTATAAGGGGAAAAGAAAAAAAAGGAAAGGTGAGGAATCTTACACAAACATATTGAAAGCAGCCAAAGCCAAGAACTAAAAAAAAAAAAAAAAAAAATTTTTTTTTTTTAAGTAAAAAAAAAAAAATTTTTAAAGGGAAAACGGCCCTAAAAAAAAAAAAAAAAACACCCTTAAATAAACTTGGGTCCATCTAATAACTGCTTCTACAATACCTTAAATAATATATTTTGGCTCGATTCCAAGCCATCCCATCTCAGCCACAATACGTTACTTGGCTAAATAGCCCTCTCTCCCCCACTTCAAACGTATCGGACTACCCAGAAGTCCTCCAAAAACATCAGCTGAAGTCCCCCAAAAGAAGTTGTGCGAGTATGCCGAACGACACATGCGAACGTTGTGCTGGGATGGTAGGCTGGCGTGGAGTGGTTTCCTCCAGAGATTCTCGGGTTTAAGGAGGCTGGGCAAACCCCACAATGAGGACAGCGGCACGGCGGGGATATATCTGATGCGACGATCGTTTCCGTGACGTGACCTGGCTCTTCGTATGGAAATTACAAGAATCCGCAAACCCACGTGGTTGTTGTTTTTTTTATGACGGCGGTTGTAAAGGGGAATGGAACAGCAGGCAGGAGGTTTAAAGAGGCTTCCCCCTTCCGAAAGGATGTTGGGTTAGTCCAGTCATGTGGGAGATTCTTCCATCAGAGGTGTGATATTCTTCCTCCCTCCCACGTCCGCTATGCTGGTGAGAGAACGAGTCCTACCAGTTGTGATTGTCCCATTCTTCTTCAGGAGCTGCAGAGGGTTCTTTTGTGGTCTTCTTGGCAGTCTTTTTGGCTTTGCCCTCCCCTGCGGCGTTCTCCCAGTTGGTCTCCCAGTTCTCCCAGCTGTCACCATTACTGTTCTTGTTGTTGGAAACGGTGCCTGACCCCCAAACATCCCAGCTGTCGGAGCTCTTCTTCTCCGTCGAATTGTCCACGTACGTCCAGCTATCGCTGCTTGGGGACTTGTGGGTTTTGGGGGGGTCTGAATTGCCGAAGGTCTCCCAAAAACTCTGGTCCGCGGTGTTGTTCTGGTAGCCATCGCTTTTGCTGTTCTGGTAGCTCTCTGTATCCGGGGGCCTTTGGGGAAAAGGAGAGGAGAGAAAAAAATAGGGACTTCGGTTAGTTCCATGGAAACTCACCAAGGAGAGAAGCAACCTAGAAATAAGGAGAAAATTCCCTGACCTGGATGGGAGGGACACTTCTCACTGAATAGAAAACAACTTATTTCACAAAGGGCTTTAAAATATTCAGACCTATCGGAAACCTGCGCTGCTTTTAGATCAGTTCAGAAAAAAACAATTACTACCAACCTGTCTTCCATCGGCCTATATACTGCACAAGTCAAAAAAAGAGCTGTGAAAATATCTTCAGACCCCTCACATCCCGGACATAAACTTTTTCAACTCCTTCCCTCAAAACGACGCTATAGAGCACTGCACACCAGAACAACGAGACACAAGGACAGTTTTTTCCTTGAACGCCATCACTCTGCTAAAGAAATAATTCCCTCAACACTGTCCAACTATTTACAAAGTCTGCACTACTATTACTATTAATCTTCTCATCCCTCCTTATTGCCCATCCCCTCCCACTTGTGACTGCAGGACTGTAACTTTGTCGCTTGTATCCTTATGATTTATATTGACTGTTTCCTAGTATTGTTTGATTGCTTATTGTACCCTATGACTATTATTAAGTGTTGTACCTTATGATTCTTGACTCTTGACGAATGTATCTTTTATGTACACTGAGAGCATTTGCACCAAGGCAAATTCCTTGGATGTCCAATCACACTTGGCCAATAAATAATTCTATTCTATTCTATTCTATTCTATTCTATTCTATTCTATTCCGCTCCACTCCATATTTCTATTCTATTCTATTCCGTTCCGTTCTGTTCTGTTCTGTTCTGTTCTGTTGTTCTGTTCTGTTCTGTTCTATTCTATTCTATTCTATTCTATTCTATTCTATTCGATTCGATTCGATTCTATTATTCTATTCTATTCTATTCTATTCTATTCTATTCTATTCTATTCTATTCTATTCTATTCCGCTCCACTCCATATTTTCAATTCTATTCTATTCCGCTCCACTCCATATTTCTATTCTATTCTATTCTATTCTATTCTATTCTAAGTTCTTCATTAAAATATTTTAGTCCCTCGATTTATGACCACAATTGAACCCCACATTTCCACTAAGTGAGACAGTTGTTAAGTGAGTTTTGCCCCATTTTATGACCTTTCTTGCCACTCTTGTTAAGCAAACCACTGCGGTTGTTATGGTAGGAATTGAACTGCTGCAGTTGTTAAAGTGAATTGGGCTTCAACATGGACTTTGCTTGTCAGAAGGTTGCAAAAGTTGATCACGTGACCCCTGAGGACACTGCAATCATCCTAAATGTGAGTCAGTTACTGAATTTCTGAATTTTGATCCCGTGACCATTGGGGATGCTGCAGTGGTTGTAAGTGTGAAAAATGGTCATAAGCTACTTGTTTCAGTGCCATTGTAACTTTGAACAGTCACTAAGTGAACTGTTGTAAGTTGAGGACTAGCTCTACTCCTCAAAATATGACCCGAATTGAGCCCCAAATTTCCCTTGCTAAGCAAAACAGTTGTTAAGGGAGTTTTTTGCCCAATTTTCCGACCTTTCTTGCCACAGTCGTTAAATGAATCACTGCAGTTAAGTTAGTAAGACAGTTGTTAAATAAATCTGGCTTCCCCATTGACTTTGCTTGTCAGGTTGCAAAACAGGATCACATGACCCCATGACACTGCAACCGTCATAAATACATGCCAGTTGCTAAATGCCCGAATGTTGATCTGCTGCTGTGGTCATAAGTGTGAAAAACAGTCGTAAGTCACTTTTTTCAATGCTGTTGTAACTTCGAACAATCACTAAATAAAAGGTTTTAAGTCGAGGACTAATTGTACAGGTAGGTCTTTATTTTACGATCACAACCAGGACTAGAATTTACTCTGGTTAAGCAAGATAGGTTTTAAGTGAGTCAAACCCTACGTTACAACCTTTTTGTGGTTATTAAGTGAAAAAATGCTGAATCCGAGTTCACCCAATGACTTTGCTTGTTGGAAGCAGCTGGGAAGTGACTGGTCCTTACAGTGATCAAAACAGTGATCAAATTAGCTTGCAACCATTGTAAACTATTTGCCAAGCCGCTGCCTACATTTTGATTACATGACCGTGGGGTTGTTGTAATGGTTGTAAATGTGAGGACCAGTCACTTTTTTCAGGGGTACTGTAATTTTGAATGGTCTCTAACTGAAAGGTTTTAAGTCAGGGACTACCTCTATCTATTTGGAGATAAAGTTTGCGAAAGTAATCTGGATGTTTTTTTTAAAAAATCTGCATTTTTAAAAAAACAATTATAAAAATGTGTTCCCAGGATATTTTAGGTTTTTATCAGATTTGCTAACCTCCTCCTTAAATTGTTCTCTCCCCAATATGGCTCAGGGTTTGCATAGCTTCAAAATCTGATTAAGAAATGAACCAGTTTTTAATGGTATCTTAGCTGGAATCCTTATCCTCTGGAACACGGGTGTCAAACTTGCTGCGTCGCATTGCTGTCACGTGACGTTTCACGGTGTTTTCCCAATTTGCACAGCTGCGGTGGGTGTGGCCTGTGCATGATGCATCCAGTCTGCAGGCTGCCAGTTTGACACCCCTGCTCTAGAATTATGGTGTCCAGGGGTCCAGAACTGTCCAGAGGTTCATCATGACAAAATTACAGTGAAATAATTTATGTGACATTGAAGGAGATGAGCAGGCAGAACCCGAGGGCGGCGTCAAACACATCATTAGTTTGGAGTCACTATATTCCCATCAGAAACCCAAGTCCAGTCCCCCATGAATTCCGTTGACTCTTATCTTAGCACCGATTTGATGATTAATAGATCGGATTCTTGGGTACAGATTGCACGTAATAAACTTTTGATCAGTGTCAGGTGTCAAGGGAAATCAGGAGATTCAGGCAGATCAAATGGATATAAAAATTTATTGCAAGCTTAAGCTCTCTACAAGAATCTGACCAACTAGCGGTCATGGGAAATGAGCGGGAGACAAGAAGGCATTCAAGGTAGACTGGACTTAGATTGATTGCAGGTGAGCATGGACTCATGACTTATGAGGCGTTTGACCTCTCCCTTGGGATCAGCCTGGTTATCTCCTACATCAGGCCCAAGTAACCAAGAACAGGAGTTGAAAGTTCAAAGCACTAAAAGTTTATTTTTAAAAGCAAGCTGGCTGGGGAATTCTGGGAGTTGAAGTCCACCCATCTTCAAATTGCTGGAAACCTAGGTTCATGAGGGAACATATTCTTTTTGGGATAGCTTGGACCTCGTTTACAATTATATGTCTAGAGAGTTGTGTGCCTAGTACAAACCCTGAGCAGACACATCCGCCATACCTTTCAGAAGACCCATCTGGTTTTCCAGAAAAAAAAGTGGTCATATCTCGCCAGCTTTTAGTACTTACTCCCTGGACCTGTGGGGTGCAGGAAAAGATAATAGCAAAGAGAAAGATCAATGGCACACAGATGTCAGCCTTTTCCTTTATCTGTCTTCGAAGCCAAGAAAACAAAATGGGATTTAGCAAGAAGCTGTATCCTCACATAAGAATAGATAAGCAATGCCCCATGTAGTTCAGCAGCCTGTTCTCCCAGTGGACAAACCCAGCAAAGCCCGCCAGTTCCCCAGCGGATGGCCTGCAAAGGGAGTCAAGACTTAACCATCAATTCCCCATGATTTTCACAAACAAAAAGCTGATTGGCTTCTTCACCAACAGAAACTAAAACTGGAAGCCTCCCTGTCTGAGAATTGAACCAGACTGATTAAGATCTTTCTGGTTAATGTCTTTAGGGTTAGTCAGTAAATCACAGGACCTGGTTTCCTTTTTGCTTTGCTCCCGACATAATAAAAGGAAACCCGTCATGGCTGTAATGATTTTTTTTTTTTAAAAAAAGAAACTCTGATGAGGGGTTGGTTTGCCTCACTGAACTACTCTCTCTGGTAACCCCAAAGCCACTTCTCAAGAAAAGGATTGGACCACATTTCTATGGAGTTAGCAAACTTTTATATGCATGCAAATACATTTAATAAAATAGCAAGGCTCTCCTCTCCTCTCCTTTCTCTAATTTTGCTTTCTTCTCTATTTCCTTCCCCTGCTTTTCTTCCTTTCCTTTCCCTCATTTTTCTTTTTTCTCTATCTCCTTCCCTTGCTTTTCTTCTTCCTTTCCCTTCTGTATTTTTTCTTTCTTCTCTATTTCCTTCCCCTGCTTTTTTTTCCTTTCCTTTCCCTTCTCTAATTTTTCTTTTTTCTCTATCTCCTTCCCC